TTAATTTTTTAATTTTTTTTTGGCACTGGCAGGGGCTGCCTGTTCTACTCCAACAACAGGTAGTTCGGGGATAAAAATAGAAGCCTTGATGGTCCTGATTGCCTATAAGACAATGCAAACATTTTAAAAATAAAATGACTTTGGGCTGTTTGTTTAAATTTAAAAGAAGCAATGGCTGGATCTTCATCCATCATATTCTCAGAGGTTGTTTTAAAATCTAAGCTACTTTTAAAACTTGTATCTTAGGGGTTTAAATTTGGCTCATTAATGTGCTTCTACCTATCCCTCCACATATCTTTAAATTCCCCTGCGGAGACAAGCTGGGTAAAATGGAGAAGACAGTTGTAGTTGATTTCCCCCTGGTAAACAATAGAGGCATAGCTGTCCTTTCCAAGGGGATCATAAAAGATAAGAGTAGAATTGCCTTTTACTCCTGCTTTTGATTTTGCTTTAGTATTTGAATATTTTTTAGGCAGTGCCATTAGCCACATTACATATGTTGCCATACCTCCCATCACTCTGCCCTTCAATACTAAGAATCTAAAGTTATATGCAGTTTCAGATGGTTTAATGTGCACTGCATTTGTTTTATATTGGCTCTCAAATTTCTAGTTAGTTTTTTAATGATGTAACTTATTCTTTGCTTTTGTGATACCTATTTCCCTTCCATGGCTTCAGTTTACTTTTTTTCTTAACTGTGCTGTATAGTGGCACAATGAAGAGGGAGAACGATATCCTCCCTTCCCCCCAGTGTGTCTTTAGGAATCACCTGAGGCCTAGGATTGCAAACTCAGGAAATGCATTATACAAGAAAATCACAGTCACTTTGGCATTGCTATGGAACACAGATAAGGGTGTTCGAGTGTTTCTGCTGTTTTTCTAACAGGTTGGACTCCTTTATAAGCATAACTTTATCTCTGAAGTTCCTTGATTTATAATGCTTGGTTTGTTTGTGAAATAATTATAATATTGATGTAGCTTTTTTTGCTCTTAAATTTTCTGAAATGTACCTTTTATCTAAATCCTGCTTGAACCATTTTTGAGATGTACATTATGCCTAATTTTTTTTCTTCTTGAAATGCAAATGATTTTTGGGAACAGATTTGGACAATTATAAGCTTTGGGCCCTGATCTCACTGATACCAAGGGTCTGTGTACAATGTTGTTTGCCTTGGAGTAAGTGTAAATTTAAGTTGTAGTCAAGGTAGAGGAGTTAGCAGTAACATAAAACCAGTATAAGTGAAGGGAGTATCAGGCTAATAGATTTTTTTTTTTTCCTGTATCTGCCTGGTCATAGATTAATTCCTGTCATTCGTTTACTCTCTACTTTTTAGGTTTGAACAAGTGAATATAGTTCAGTTCCCTTAGGTGAGCCAGGATCTAAGGCAGTGATTCTCAGTCAGGGTGCCATGGCACCGTGGGGTGCTTTGAGTTACTTTCAGTAGTGCTGAGTAGTGCCATGTAATGTTAGCACTTCTAGTCCGCTTACAGATGAAAAAAACAAGAAGAAAAAACAGTGCTTTACTTTAAACTCGGTGTACTCCTTGGCTGAGCCCATCACATGCCCAGAAGAGGCATCGCATTAGTTGGACCCAGCTCACCCAACTTCTGTATGGATTGGGTGCTTTAGTAGGGCTTTTGGGGGGCTTTTATCTAATAAGCTATTAGATAAAAGTGAATCAGCTATTATATAAAAGTGCCAAAAAGCCCCACTGAAGTACCTGATCTATACAGATGCTGTGGAGCTGGGTCAAACTAATGCACTGCTTCTTCTAGTAAAGCGCATTTCCCCCCTCCCCCACCACATTTGTCAGTGCCCTTGGATGTGCGAACCTGATTCACAAGATAAACCCAGAGATTTTAAATAAGTATCCATAGTGTAAAAAATATTCTGACCTATCCTTGATATTGTGGCTAAGTACATACAGTCAAAAAGCCAAGGCTGAATCACTTCAATATTTGCAGGTTTCTCTAAGCTGTGTAGTTTGAACCATTAATGAAGTTGAACTGATGTTCACTTTTGAATCTGGAAAGGTAGCCAGATGCCTGCAGTGGCCCAAACCAGTAGCTAAGGGGTGCTAGAGCACGCCTCCCAGCCTGCTGGCCAGTGCGCACCCGGATGCAGCCGAGTGGGGCCCATGCCTGTTTGGCTGCTCAGCACACGCCCCCCAACCTCTTGCTGTTTCCTCACAGAGGGGAGTAGTTCCTTCAGCCCAGCTAGTGCTGGGCATCAGCCCATGTGGGAGATCCCCATGCCTCACCGGGGGTTCCCCTGCTTGGGCAGGGTCCCCTGAGCTTTGCCAGAGGGGGAATTTCCTCCTCCTAGCCCTCAGCAGTCTCATAGTGGCTTAGCCCCCCCCCCCCCGGTGTGTGTATATTGGGGGGCAGTGCTTCCATCCTGGGGCTGAGCCTCTGCCCCACATCAGCCCAAATGGAGAGATCCTTGCGGCTCAGCAGGGGATTCTTCCACCCTGGGCAGGGTCCCCCAAAGCTTGCCACTGGTGCAGAGGGGACTTTCCCCTCTCCCATCCCTCACCATGGTTTGCTGCCGGATTGGCCCCACTCCCTCCAGCTTGGGGCTGAGCTGGTGCCTGCATCAGTCCACATGGAGGGATCCTTGTGCCTCCCTCCCTCTTCCTGCTCTCCCGCAGTGTGGGCAGGCTAACGGCCCAAGCTGTCTGCTTCGTCTGAGCAGGGCCAGTCCCACCCTCAGCCTGTCAAAGAGCTGAGGCAGCAAAGCATCTGTTCTGCAGCCCTAGTCTTGCCTGCGCCCTGGTAGGGCAGGGGGTACTGCCCTCCTCCCCAGTCCCACCTCAGATCCCTGGTGTGCCAGGGTTCCCCTTGGGCTCACACAACTCACTGACACACAGGTGGGGATGGGGGGAAGCAGCCTCTCCAGCCTGGGGCAGCCCAGATCCCGTGCCTCAGCAGGATTTGCCTGGCCCTAGCCAGGGTCCCCTGATCCCTGCTGCCTGTGCAGTGGAGGACTTCCCACCTCCCACCCCTTAGCATGGTCCGGTGCTGGTTTGGCTGTGGGTAGGAGGAACTTGCTGTTACTCTCTCTGGGCCCACTGTGCACCTGCAGGGGCAGGGCTAAGCTGGCGCTGGACTGTGCTGAAGGTTAGGAGGGAGGGGGAAATTCCTTCTCTGCAGGCAGGGATCAGGGGACCCTGCCTGGGTTGGAGAACCCCTGCTGAGGTGCCGGGATCCCCACCATGTGGGCTGATGCTGGATGCCAGCTCGGCCCTAGGCTGGAGGAGCTATTTCCACTGCACCTGTACGGGTAGGGCTAAGTCAGCGCCAGACTGTGCTGGGGGTAGGAAGGGGGAATGTCCCCTTTGCTGGGGAAACCCCATTGAGGCCCAGGATCTTGCTCCCCCCCCCCCCCCCCCCAGTGTGTCAATGAGTTGCATGAGCCCAGGGGGAAACCCTTGCACACCAGGGATCTGGGACGGGGTCAGGGCTTGTCTTTGTGGGCACTGTTGCCCTGCCTTCCTTCTCTCTTCCAGCCCAACCAGGGTGCAGGCAGGAATGGGGCTGGGGCTGGGGCTGGGGCTGGGGCTGGGGCTGGGGC